AGCTTTGCGCCAAAGTGACGTCACTAGAGAAAATCGTAGGATTGGCGCGGCGAGAGCTACTTCAAAGGAGTGAACCAGCCCTTCTATTCTCTTTAGCCCTGGCTGTTATCACTGTCAGAGGAGGTTGCTCTAAGTACTGATTCCTCAGGATCTATACATCCAAATATTCTGAAAATGTAATCATTTGTTCTTCCAACTATAATGTATGTTCCCAATAAATATCATTCTGTTATTTGCATTCCTTACTGGTGTAGCAATTTTATTAGCCATTAGTGTATTTAGAGCCGAATTATACCTTTCGTAGGCCCTAGGCATAGCCGTTTTTGGGCCCTCCCCTCCTTCCCCAACTCCTCCCCTCTTTTCAAAATATATGCTAAAATTTTGTTGCTTATTTTTTTTAAACATTTTTATTAAAATTGATTTTAATTTACAAATTTGTTTATCGAACTTCATCTGCCAAAAATCGCAAAAAAGTAATATATTAGATCATAAGATTCTGCAAAATAATTTATTACCGAAAAATATTATATTTTTATTTGTATCTTCATAATTTTGTGCAAAATAAACTTGTTTTTAAAGCTAAATTATTTTTGTCAACAAATTTTTTTCTCCCAAGTTTTTCGTAGGCCCTAGGCACGTGCCTAGTGTGCCTATAGGTTAATCCGGCTCTGTGTATATTGTATTTTTATTATTACATTATAAATGGTTATTTGAATTCTGACAAATATTCAAGTTACATGGTTTTCTTGAATAAGCAAGATTCGCAAATAACATCCCTATGTTTCTATACATTTCGAAACTGAATTTTGCAAACATGTTCTTCAGTTCAAACCTGCTCAACATGTTCTTTAACTAAGTTCTTGTCCCACAGTGGACGGATCGTAAAGACACGGTTCCCAGTAAGACACCGAAGTCAAGCATCACTGGCTGCGGTCAGTAAGCAGGAGGGTTACCACTTGACTTCCTCAAGGATGTTTCCCAGATCGTCGCCAATAGCCTATTGGGTAGCTCTAGTGCGACGTGAATAAAGTACCTACCATTAAGCTCTTTGATTCGCGATCGCAACACTCGAATACGCCATCTGGGGAGAGACCGGTTTCATGCCTTTAGCCCTTCTCCCTTCCCTCTCCTCCTCTTTTCAGTTGCATAGGAATGTACTACGATATTTTCCCTTTTCTTAATATTTTTCCTTTCTATTTAATAAGAATATTTTTTAAAATTTCCATAATACTTTTCTTTAGAACTATGTTTAATGTAGTTTTCAGTTCCATATAGTTTTTCAAGTTAAAAGATTTCAATCTATATGAAAATCAAGAGAGAAACTAACGTACTTCCTTCCTCTATGACTTTCCACACGCTAATGGGGAAAGCATGTGAAGTGTTGCCATAGGAAAAGAGTTCTGCTCCTGCAGCCCATTTCGATCGCCAATTGCTATCAGTTACTCATTTATCACCAAATATCGGTACTAAAGTTTCTTTGTTTTGTTCTTTTATTTACAAATTTATTATTTACAAACTCACCACCGACATCTGAGACGATAACCTCATTTTAAGTAGAGTTCGTAAGGTCCTTAGGAAATTAAAAATGTGGCAGCAAAGCTAAGATGTATTTTATTATATTTATATTGACCACAACATTCAATATTTAATTTTAAAAACTTGTAAATTCGTGGTAACGAAATGTGTGGCTTTAAAATTTTAATATTAAATTTAATGATAACTTTATAATTACGATTTGGTAACCACAGTTTTCTTAATTTATTAAGGACAATATAAGTCCTGTTAAAATATTGAAATACAGATGTTAGCCACTACAAGTATAAAAACTTAATTTTTCTAAATGAAAGTTCAAATTTAAAAAAAATAAATAAAAGGAGTTTCAAATTGGCGATCGAAATGGGCTGCAGGTGGAGTAGAGCAGAACTCTTTTCCTATGGCAACACTTCACATGCTTTCCCCATTAGCGTGTGGAAAGTCATAGAGGAAGGAAGTACGTTAGTTTCTCTCTTGATTTTCATATAGATTGAAATATTTTAACTTGAAAAACTATATGGAACTGAAAACTACATTAAACATAGTTCTAAAGAAAAGTATTATGGAAATTTTAAAAAATATTCCTATTAAATAAGAAGGAAAAATATTAAGAGAAGGGAAAATATCGTAGTACATTCCTATACAACTGAAAAGAGGAGGAGAGGGAAGGGAGAAGGGCTAAAGGCATGAAACCGGTCTCTCCCCATATGGCGTATTCGAGTGTTGCGATCGCGAATCTTTGAAAAAATTAAAATTCGCCAAAAATTGACGTCTACGCCCCAAAGGTTCTAGTAAATTTTACTTGGACCGTTGTAGATTATTTAGAGATTTGCAAATTTTTATTAGAGTTTTACTAATTTTAATTGTTAAAGTAGAGAAAATAATGTTCGACTGCTCCTACATTCTAAAAGGAAAAACAGTGACACTGAGTAGACTTTTTTGTTTTAACTTATGATAAAGATTATAGTAAAGCACATGAAAAGTGGTCTCAGTTATAGATAATAGTATGAATGTGTCATACTTACGGAGTTATTATTAAAATTTTAATGAAACCAGAAAACACATTTATCTTAAATAAAGTAATCTAATATAATAAGGGATATTAACAAGCTTGAAACTAAAAGGTTGCGTGTAATTTATACAGTAAATAAAATAACTGTAAGATTTTAATTATTAAAAAAATGTTATCGATATTTTATTTTTCAGCAATGGATGGTGTTTTCAGCAGAAATGTAAACAATAACAATCTCGAGCTGTATGCCTGTTCTAGTTCCAGTTAGAAAGTTTGCAGTATGCAGTATCAATAAAAGAAATAAATTAGATAATTTCTGAGCTCAAATCTGCCGTATTTCATAAGATATTAATGTTATTATGTAATTCTGGTGAATTAGTAGTGAAAATTTGTTTTAGTTATTTAGAGATATATTGTTAAAAAAGGTGACATGGTTGCTAGATTTTGAATAACTCGCTTTTTTGGCTGTCTTGATATGGCCTCTTTCCATAAGTTTATTACTGTTTGCTCTTGTTGCAAGCTGTGCACCATCTGACGTTAGAGTTAACACTTTTAGCATTGTAGAAGTATTGTTAGCATTGTAAACACAAGTAATCAGTAATCAAAAAATATATCGTTTGCAAGAATCTCAAAACTCAATGATGCCAAATGGCTTTAAAGTACAACGGAAACAGTAACCCGGAAATTTAGGCGGTACCGAGCTTGCAGCGTTCCCTAGTGTAGAAAACACCATCCATACCAGGGTGCAACCTAATTTCTAGAATTCCCGTAAAAGGAAGGCTTTTAAGCCTTAAGACTTAGAGGCCTCTAAACTTCAGGATTGCCATCTGGTGAAATTTTAAAAAAATATTTCAAGTAAAACATCTCAACTTTGCTTTACTCAGTGGCGCGAATTCTTTTATTTATCGCGAATTTGGCTTGTAAATAACTCCTGAAGTGGCAATTTTTTGACCGCAGTACCGTTGAAGTTTGTGCGTTGAATGTTGAACATAAAGCATTTGTAAATTAAAACAGCTTTCATAAAATTATCTGAACTTACTGTAATCTGTCATAATGAGTTCTATCAGAGGCAGAAGTTCGCGCAGAAATGATAAAACAGAAAAAGAAAGAAGCGATCCATCTCCTGGCCGTTATGATTTACGGTCAGTTCTTAGAACTCGAAGAAAAAACGCTAGTACTTCGAACGATCATGACGGAAAGCCTGCTTTTAATGGTAATCGTAGTTGGGCAGAACTCGTAGAAATGAATGAAAATCCTGAAGTTTACGATGACAATTCTGTTAGTTCCCCTTTGAAAAAATTGTCCATGGATAGCCCTGCAAAGCGTTATTTTTCTGAACCGTTAGACAAAAAAGTAGAATCTGTAAACAAGAGATCAAACAGAAAACGAGACAGAAATGTTGATGGTGGTGAAGCAAACGATTTTATTCCAGTGAGCCCAAGTTCTGAGGGAGTGAAACGAAGACTTGGCTGGAGCCGCACAAAGTTTTCCGCTGATAATCTCAGTACTACTTCTTCTAGTACTATGTACAGTTCAGATAATGAACTTGATAGTGAGAAAGGCTCATCCAAACAGATTGAAACTGATCCCGAAGTTTTAAAGCGACGTCAAAAGCAAATTGATTATGGAAAAAATACTAGAGGATATCGTCGATATATCGAAGCAATTCCCAAACCTACACGCGAGCCGCATCACATTTATACTCCTAAAAAACACATCAAATATAGCCGTCGCTCTTGGGATAGTCAAATAAAGTTATGGAGAAAGCGTCTTCATGAGTGGGATCCCAAATCATCTGATGAGGAAGATGCTGGGGATATAGATTTATCAGACATGGCTGGACTTGTATAGGTGTTCCCCCCCTTTTTTTTTATTAACTGCATTATAGAAACTTTGAAGTTTTATATCTGATTTTCAAGTTTTTGTTCCTGCATTGACTCTTTTATTATATATTAATTTGCACATATGAATGCCAGACTGATTTCTAGACTATGTTTTGAAATTTGTTAATTGTTGTAACTCTTGAAAAATTTTTCTTCTACATTGAATTTTTTCTTAATTATTTAATACCTTACAATAAGCTATCAATACCTAATTTAAAACTGTTATGGCTGGTTAGAACTGAACTAGACAATTCATACATTAACTAGAATTTGTGTCAACGTTTTATTTTAAATATTTTTGCATCAATTGTACAATGTTGGTTCATAGTATTTATTCATGTCGGTACTGAAAATTTGTTTGTAGTTTAAACATCTTTAGATGCAGATACAGTTTTGTTTTCGGTTTGCTGTGCACAAATTTTTTTTTTATGTGTTGTAAGTTTACTTCAACAAGTGACCAAATTAAATTTCTGTCATAAAAAAAATCAAACTAACAAACTTAGTGCTAATCAAAATACAAAAAATTAAATAAATTTTGATTTATAAATATATATAAACATTTATGTACATTATGTATATGTAATAAAAGATAAGTTATTATATTTTAGTGCAAGAATAAGTTAATTTTCTTTTACAACTGGCTGACTGAAAAGTTCGATAGCAATAGCCTACAGTTGTAAATTTTTTCAGTTAAATTATGTTTTATATAAATAATTATTATTAATATTTGCTGTTGGTCTATTTGACAACCTGTATAAGGCTGGCTAAATATTACTAGTAATTAATATTTTTATAAAAAAATGTGTTTAATAATGTTTTGGTAAAATATATTCTCAGATTATTCAGTTGTAGTTACAATTACTGTTACATTTATGTAGTTAATAAGATTTTCTATCTCTTTCTTAGCAGTTGGTTAGGTTTAATGGTAAAATCCAAATATTAATCCTTTTAAACTTGTTTTAGTTTTTCTGACAAATCTACAAATTCCATGAAACTTTAATGATAGTGTGCTAAGAGCAATATGGTGCAATAAAAAAGCTTGTGTTTCATGTTTTAAATTGGGACAACAAATATTAGCACAATCTAGTTACTGTATGCTTAAGTAAATTTTTCATTAGAGGATCATTGAATAGATCATTTAAAAACTATTAGTGTTCTCACTAAGCGTTTTTTGAAGGACCACCTGCCCTACTTGTCCTTAGGTACCAATAAATTAGTTCTCTTTGCCCTTTTTGTAAAAGTAAGCTAAACTGTCATTCCTTTAAAGCACTGCCTTTTTATTTAGATTCCATTTTGGAAAAAAAATTAACTGTTTCTAAATAGTAACTATGCACTGTTAAATTATCTATGTATATAAGTTTAATTCGCATTACTATTACAAATATTTACTTTCTTAGGATTATTCTCAACTGATTAAATTCTTATAAGTATCTTTTTTCGGAGGAGAGAATATTAATAAATTTTTTAAGTGATTTTTAAAACTATTTTTTTACATAAATACTTTTTTCTTAAATGCTTTTTTGAATGTTCATTTTCTCATTTTAAATTATGGAAAAAATCTTTCAAGTTGTTTATCAATTACTCATTTTTTGCTAGTTTACTTTTTGAAAAAAAAAAAAAAATATGCAGAGATTGCCTTTTATTATTTTTATTAACTATGAATTTTTCACTTATTTTGATAGTGAAAGAGAATTACTATTTGAAATAGAAATATACTCATAAAATAGGATGAGAGGTAAAAATTGTTGTACTAAAAATTCCATTATTACATAATATTACACATTTTGATAAATATTAATTATTTTGAAATGTTAAGTGAGTTTTCATAGAGGAAACATCTGTCCTTTTTTTATTCCTAGAAAGTCTGCTATGATTGCTTATGTTATAATTGCTTATAAATAATTTAATATTTAGTTATTTTAATAATGTTTCATTAACTTCAATATAACATTTTGTGGTCAAATATAAAAGATTGTAAGAAAGTAAAGTTGGAATATATTGTCTGGGAGTAGAAAATTTTTTTCAACTACTATTGTAGATATTTTATTATGTTTTATATGATATTTTCAAGTGTATTAAAGTTGAACTCAATTTTAAATCATGATTATTTTTTTTAAATCTATTATTAATTATTTTTAGTTCACTTTTATTTGAAATGTTATGATTCCTTTTCTTTTTAATTTGCTTTTTCTTGATTATAACAAAATGATTTCAAAATAGCTTTATAAATTTCTCAAATGTTTTGTTAACATTTCGTTTTGCTTTGTGTCGAATTTGTCAATAGAAACTGTTTATGAATTAACACAAAGCATAATTTTCTAATTATTTTGGTTTGATTTCACATTATTAAGGTAAATTTTTCTTATTTTCAGGCTTTGTTATAAAAAAAAATTAAAGACCTGTTGTATTTTTATTTCTTATGTTAGATAACTTATATTTTTTGAATTGTCTGTAACTTAAAGTTTGAAGGAATATTGAATAATTTATATTATTATATATATTTTGTGTTGATGCTAACTGAAATATGCAGATGAGAAATTTGATTTTCTTTTCCTGGCATTACTATCAAAGAGCCTATGTAAAAAACAAGAGAATTTAGAAGTATTTCCCTACTTTTAATTAGTTAAACTTTAGTATATTAAATTTTTAGTATAATACATAATTTGATTCAGGTGTGAATATGTCACAAAAGAAATGGTAAAAATTAAAGAATATAGTGATATTTTTTTTGTGAGAAATCACCCGAAATTGTCTTTACAGTTACGAAGGAAGCATATTCCAGAACTCATTGTTATGACTTCAAATTTTAAAATATCTGGGCATGTTCTAGCTTAAAATTAATGTTATCTTTTTTTTTTTTTTTTTTTANTGTGTTAGATGATTTTTTTTTTTTTTTTTTTTAATTTGTTTTTATCAAGTTATTTTTTTTCATGTGCAACATTCAAGCTAGAATTATTTAAATTTATTTTTAACTTTTTTTAAATGTGATTTTTAAAATATGTTAGCTTATGAATGTTGATTTAAAAGTAATGTGAAATGTATATACGTTTTCATCTTAGAATAAAATTGATTTTTAAAAACGATTTTTAAATTGTTTTTTTTTTAATTTTTAGACTTTTAAATTACTATAACGTGTACTTAGATGTTTTTGTTATTAGAATGATGTAAAAATTGTCTTATATACTAAATAGTAAATGCCTTTTATAAATAATAATTATTTAATAATAATTAAATAATAATTTAGTTAATTTATTATAAAATATAAATTTCTAATATTTGTCTTTGTAAAATCTATTTTTTATTTGTTAAGATTAAAAGATAAAAATTTTTTATATTTCTGATCTCATATATTATTTAATAATCAAAGGGATCATGTGATGTGTTCTGTGAGTACAAGAATCAGTTTTTCAAGAGTTTCCTAAATTTTTTTTTGCTTTTTTTATTAAAATACAACAGAACTTTATAAGCAGATCATAAAATTAATTAGTGGAATATAGAATTAAGAGTCATATTATGATAGTTAAGTTTAATTTTTAGAATCTTTAAGGTAAATCAGTGTTTTCATTACAGAAAAAAAATGGAAGATAATTTCTCACCCTTTCTCAAAAAGTTAAGTGAGATTTCTAAAAATTAAAAAAACACGAATAGACTTGGAAAAAAATTATTTCTTTAATTATAATACATTTTTAACATCTTCTAATTGAATATTTTTGCTGCATCATCATATGGAAAATGTTCTATGTCTACTTTTTCATCAGATATGATATTTATTTGGCTGAAAAATATCCGTATTTGTTTAGTTTTGACCATTTTTACCGACATTTGTTTCTTTTTCATTTGTCCGTTACGGAGTAGAATATGTTGCCTTAACAAGGTATTTGTCCATCTTGCATTCATGCACAAAAAATTTAAACTTCTTACATGAAGAAACCTTACCTACGGTGAACACGTGGTTGCAGATAAATGTGTTCTGAAAGGAGTTCTGAACAATACTGGTAAATAGAGAAGCTAGATAACAAGGACCGATGTTCAAAATAATGAAAGATCAAGGAAGAAAAGTGAAATGGATTTTATTCTAAATGGCGCAATGAGAATTTTTTTTCAAAATGCGAGAAATCCGCGAATTTTGAAATTGGTTTATAGAATGCGCGAATTTCTCGCAGTAATAGTTTTTTAATGCGAGATAAGAAAAAGATATGCGAGGTTCTCGCACTGTAGTGAAAACACTGGTAAATTATCTGTAAATGGCAAATAGAGTTACAAGTTATATTTTTCGATATTTTAAAATTTTATGGTGCTTGATCCTCTCATTCTAGCAAATGTTTGGTTTTAAAAAAGGACTTACTTTAATGCTCCTTTTTTCCACATTGCTTTGAATCACAATCATGAACACAGATTAAGATATAATTTAGTTTTTGAAAATTAGAATTATTTGCATCTAGTTCAAAACAATGCTAAACATTTTTTTAAAGTAATAATTCAGACACAATTTTAAGTATTTATTGTAATTTATATAACACATTAATAAAAAAAAAATATTTTTACATGTATGAACTTCATTCTATTTTACAACATAATAAAAATATAAGCATTTTATCAATTTTCTGCAAGCAATTGAGTAAATATCTGAAACACTTAATGAGGCATGACAAAATTTTTGTAAGTAAAAGTACAACTTTACTTAGAAATGATATGTCAATAATTGTTTTAAAATACTGTTATATAACAAAAATACTTATTTCAATAGTTAAGAAAGTGTAAAACATAATAATGCAAGCAAATAGCTCCTTTTATTTTTACTGAAAAAAAAAAAACTTATCGTAGATACAACAGAAATGTTCATGTCTATTCTTGTTTTAAAACCATTTGATCACTAGCATTTAAAATTGCTCGTTGACTAGATACTTCTACTAAAAATATAAATTATCAGAAATATATTATATCACAGTGCAGCGTTTTTTGACTAGAGTTGAGTAAAAAGAAAATGAGTTTTTTTTCTATCTTGTTAAAAATAGTTTTGCATACATTATTTGTGGTTTATTTTTTTTATTATGGCTCTAATTATTCTATCCTGTTAATTTTTTTCTCTCCTGTTAAAAATAGTTTTGCGTACATTATTTGTGGTTTATTTTTCTATTATGGCTCTAATTATTCTATCCTGTTAATTTTTTTCTATCCTGTTAAAAATAGTTTTGCGTATATTATTTGTGGTATGGTTTATTTTTTTATTATGGCTCTAATTATTCTATCCTATTAATTTCTTTCTATCTTGTTAAAAATAGTTTTGTGTACATTATTTTTGGTTATTTTTTTATTATGGCTCTAATTATTCTATCCTGTTAAATTGCTTCTATCCTGTTAAAAATAGTTTTGCGTACATTATTTGTGGTTTATTTTTTTATTATGACTCTAATTATCGAAAAATTGAGAATATTTTATATCGTAAATCATTAGAGTTAAATTAGGATTTTTCAAAATTCTGACAAACAGCTCAAAAAATTTGTCATCACAGGCTTAATATAATGCATCATTAACAATGGTTTCAAAATTTCCACTTGTTGTTTTATATTTAATTACAACTGGATAATAGATAAGGAATATTTAAGTAAAAAAATTGGATAATTTTAAACAATTCAAAATGATGCTAAACAATTTTTTCCTTTTTACCCTTTTGTTGGTGCATACTGTAGTCAGTTCATAATTTTGACTGTGTACTTTATTTAAAAAGAACTATCTTTTGATTATTTAAGTGAGGCACTAAACATTTATCACAATCTTGAGTAAAAATACTAGCTTTTATTTATATTTTATGCTTTTAAGTATATAAGGCAACTTTTTTCAACGAAATATGTTTCTCTAAATGTGAGTTAATATAGAAACAGTGCAAAATGCATTGATTATAGAGGTAGGTGTTTAAAATGTATCATGTGATAATTCTTTACAGTACACTGCTGGTCATAAAAGCTATTTCCGCTTGCAAATTTTGCTATAAAATATATCATCCTTTCAAGTTCATTATATCAACATCTTTTTTCCAGAAAGGGAACACATTGTAAGATTTAGTTTCCTTAAAATATAATAATTTTTCTTTTATAGAAAATGAATTTTGCTCTTCAGTGAAAAAATCCACTCCTAATATAGGATTCAAAACATGCATTTGGTATAATTTTCTTGAAAATTTTCAATAGATTCTAATTTTTAACCAAGAAAGTAAGTTGCCACTACTTTCTAAGCTCTCAACAACCAGAGCCCATAATTTAGGTATACAGATGTAAAACTAATTGCTCGTATTTAAGGTTCAACACACTTAAGTTTCAAAGAGTGTAAGCTGTGAAAGAATTTCAAATTGCAATGAAGAGGGCAGGTGTTAAAAATGTGCTATTTGAAAAGATGCATAATAGCTGAAAAGTTTTAAGAATTTGGTATAACTTCCCACAAGCTACTCATGGTGAAGCCATCTTTTATTTTTTCCACGGCTAATCCCAATTCTTCACAGTATACCGGTTCCCGATCTCGAAGGTGATTTTCATCAGCAAAATATGCAGCGAATGTATCGCATTCTTTCGAATTTATTATTTCAACATCTTCATCGAGGGGAGCACATTGCGGGACTTCATTTTCAATGGGAGTTTTTTCTTCGATGAAAAAATCTACACCTAATATAGGATTTGAACTGTGCACTTGATACAAATTAGATATCTCTTTGAAAACTTCTTGCAATCTTTCGGCAGGATCTATTTTGAAGCCGAGAACATAGCCTCCACTACTTTCTGAACTCTCTACAACAAGAGCCATTCCGAATTTGGATTCACGGACTTTCAGAGAAACAATCTGAATGTAAGGTATACTGATGTTAAACAATTCGTTCATGTTTGCATGCCACACCAAGCGAACGTTGGTAATAAAAAATGTACCTAAATTACCCTGATCGCTTGACAAATTCCACACTCCATTAACTTTGTTGTATATTTGTTCCTGGGGCAGAACCTTTAGTTGCTTACTAAGCACAACACTGCCTCTTAATTTTAATTCTCTGTACCATTTGCTGGAATTATAGGCTTTGTAAACACTGATGACAGATGTCATTAATCTAGTTGTTCCAGGGATTAAATTCGTAAAGATAAACTCAAATCGCGTACTGTGTACTTTAGTCAGAATATAAAGTGCCTCTGTCATACCTCTAAGCTTCGAGTTCACGGTTCTTGTTGACATATTTGTGACACAATTAAAACCGACAGATAAACTAACTCTAGGTTTAACGTGAGACTGCCAAATTAATCTAAGATTTGTCACAAATAATTTCCCTGCATCGCCACTGTTTCCTTTTGTGTCCTCCACCGAATCTAATTTATCGATTAGTTTTTCGCCACAGTGATATTGCATTTCTGCAGGAGATAAATCAAATTTTATGTCCCGATCTTGCCATAAAGGTTCAACTTTATTCACCGCCATTTTGTTCTATAAATTAGAATTGAAAAAAGTTAGAGAATATGCTTGTAATACTTGATATTTATATATAATTTTTTTATGATATTAGATTTTTGAATCCAGAACTAAAGTGATGATAACGAAACCAACGCTCTGTTGCCCGTCAATTGATTGATTGATATAAACAAAGGAATTTTTTTTTCTTTTCCCCTTGCAAAATCAAAATTCGACTTCTTCATGGTTCGAAAAATATTAAAAACATTGTGATTCATTTTAAAAGCATTGTAACCCGAAATAAATGAGTAAAATTATGGGAATATATTTATGAGTAAAAAAAAAAAAAAAGCCCTTTCAGCAACTAATACGTTTCAACTCCACTATGCAATGATTATTCCATCATAAACAAACTTGACGTGTACTGAGTTTTGATTAGGTGGAGTGTTGTCATTTAATTTAAGACGGAGATCTGAAATATTAAAAAGCATATAAAATTCATAAAAATGACTGAAAATAATGAAAATCTTTCTGTTGACCTGTCACAAACGGCTTCATCTGGATCTGAGAAAATGACTGAGAGCGAAGTATAATTGAAATAATTAGTGAAATTATTTTGTGCCCGGTTTTATTTATTATTGTTTTCCTTAATTTTCCTATTAAAGTTGTTTTGATATTAAATCGGAATAGTAATACAATATGAGTTTTGTATTTTTTCTTAGTGTGCTGCTGTAGATATGTATTTACCTAATTTAAGATTTCATATAGCAAATAAACGAAGCCGTATTTTCAAGCCCTCATATTTCTTAGAGAATGTTTTCGCTTTTGAATACATTTTATAATATAGTTTCTATTTCTTTCCTGAATTCTTCATACTGTGCCAGTTCTGGTTATAAACACTGGTCCCTATTTCTTTTTCTTGTCAAATTGTATTAAATAGTTATAAAATTTGGTACAGAACATGTAAAACATAAACTTTACTCAGAAAAATTTCAGAATTCACAATAGTGATTTAATTAGCTATGTTATAATAGCTCAATTAAAGGAATTTTAAGTATTGAATTTCTGAGCATTAAGTTATTAACTGAACTGATTAAATTTTGTCAATTTTCTATTTGAGTTTAACAACTTTATTGTTTATTAAGTTCATGCTATACAATTTTGTATTGAGCATCTCATCTTACCTTATCTTTTCTAACTCAATGCACCATAATATGAATAGAGAACTCTGTAATACTAAACACATGTAGCATTTTTAATTTTTCACACCTAAGGTTAGTATTTGTAAGTAAAATTTAGGCTTAGATTTGTAATTTTTTCTCCTGCATTACCTTTACGTTATTCCAAGCAATATGAAGTTATTGGTTGATCGTAAGAAATAAATGCTTATAGTTCAGAAAAAAAGCCAACATTATTATTAATATTAAAAAAATTAGCGAGAGTGATTGAATTTATAAACTCAATAAATGTCTAATCATAATCGTGGATGAGGAAATAAATGACTTTATTTATATTGTAGAATTATTTAGAGCAATACGAAGTCAGAAATAGATGTTCCACAATGTTTAAAAAATAACTATAATTTATGTTATTAAGCATTGCACATTGCCTTAATATGGACACACACAAAAAAAAGTAGCTGCATAATTCACAAATATTTAATTTAATTCTGTTTATTTAATTAATATTTCTTTTTTGCATTTTAAAATTTTTTATGTCTTTCAGTTTTTATAGTGTAAAATTTTATATTTGTTAAGTAAGGTTTAATTATTTTATTTAGAGTGATAGTGTTGCTCTGGACACGTTGCAAAATTTAGCTGAAGCAACTTTAGACTGTTTAGAAGAGTCAGTGTAAGTATAGTTAACTCTAGTTTTATGACATACTTTAAATGTATCTGTTAAATTAAGGAGTACAGGGCCACCTTTTTTTCACATTAATAAATATAAATTTTCAAAATTCGACCTTTTTCTACATTCAACTTGATGATAGACAAAGTGCAATATACCCTATTACACAATGTAAAATTTATTATAAGGTTAAAAAAAATGAAAGCCTACTTATTAGCACGGGTTCGAAAGCTCGAGAAGGCTCGGTCTCATGGTAAAATTTTTTACTACACTTTTAAATATAAATGTATGATTAAGTATAAAAATGTAAAATTTATTAATTAATTGTGATAAAAAAGTTTTTATGACTAATTTCCTTGCTAAGGCAGTGAAAGCCTAATAGCGAGACTGCAAAATTTAGCTTTTATCTGTCCTATATCTTGGACGAATCTGGTCCTTTTGGAGGTCCGAGCCAGAACTAATCTTTATTATCAGTGTATTAATGAAAAATAACAATGATCAATGATATATTTTAAACAATAACAAACAAATACTTTCTTAATAAAAAAATGATGGCCAGTTGTTATTAATTACCTATACAATCAGCTAATGAAAAATTATTCTCAGTAAGTCATGATAAAAAAATTCTTGCATCTTGAATTGTAATGAATTTATAAAACATGTTAATCGTAATTTTTTTCTTTATCGGTCCTTAATAAAAACCATTCTTTTGTAATAAAAAGCGTTGTACTTATGAATGTACAGTACAGAACCCGTTATCCGGAAATCAGAAAACCGGAAAACCAAAAAACCGGAACGAAATTCGATAAATTTTCCCACCATTTAAAAAAAAAAATTTTTTTCCTCATAAGATTTTTGGATTTTTCTTTCTTTTTTTAAAGATGTTTACCTTACCATCACTTTGGAAATAATTCTTAGTGTATTACTTCATCGTTTTTTCTTCTTTTTAAGATTATTTCCAAATATATATATATTTTTTTAGTTGGGTTTAACAATAAAGAAACGGGTTTTTGTAGCGATTCAGAAAACCGGAAAAATCAGTTATCCGGAAAAGCGATGGTCCCGATCGTTCCGGATAATCGGTTCCCTACTGTATATACTAATCATTGCAATCCACTTGTGTTGACAAAAAGTTCCCAAATGTGCTTATACCGTTTCCGCTAACAAGTTCACTTGGAAAACCGGTTTAAAAAAGCTTATAAGTTCAAGTGTATCTTAAGAAAGCTTAAATCTGCTAGTGGAAATCTGTTATGACTAGTATAGTCGACTGTGAATAATAGATTCTTCCGATAATTTGATTCTTTTGGTTTGGCGGATTTTTATGACTTTGGTTATCTGAAACTGCACTAGATTCCTCTAAAGTTGCAATTCATATTCACATAATTTTAATAACAAGCATTGATTTTCGTATTTATCTGATTAAAAAGTTAAACAATACAATCTGTATTCATGCAATTTAAAAATTATGCATCACAACTAGTATTTGTGTTTTAAAAATTCAATATAACGTTTTGTATTTACTTTTTTTAAAAATCCAATGTCATATTTTCATTGTTGCAGTTTGTGATATCAAACATCAATATTTGTGTTTATATGTCACTTAAAAGTTATACAATGTGATTTGTATTGAAGTGATCTAATATCACTCAATGCTTCAGAATATAACTTGTGCATTGTGATTTGTATTCATATTAGTTAAAAAGCTATTCTTTTTTGTATTTTTAAATTTTTTAATTCAATATTTTGATTCATATTCACACAATTTTAGAATTCAATATCCTGATATTTGTCAGAATTAAGTTAAATTAGTTATGATGAAGCTGTGATATTCTTCATTGATAGATAATTTAACTATAAATCTTTATTCAAAAAATTATATTAAACATGTATAGGATATAAATTGATATTTTGAGTTTTTGCGCATGAAATTTTCAGGGTTTTTTACATTGTGTCACAATTTCTCCTGTGTTATCATTCTTAGAAATAGTAGCAAGCTTTCTCAGAATAAATATATTTCAGATTCATTAATTTAAAAAAAATTTCTATATTTGCTTTCAGAACTGGAACGACTCCTATAGTTGACCAGTATGTGCCAGGGCCGTTACCTAAAGAGTGAGTATTCTGACAATTTGAAATTTTTTTCAAATTTTGAATTGATCAAGTTTTTTCCCTTTATTTTATTTTAGTAATAGGCATCCAGTATCCTGCAATATTTTACTCATTAGTTAATCATTTCACTGCTAGAAGTTTGTATTAGTATTTAATTTGCAAAATTTTAAATGATTCTTTTGTTTTGAAAGTCTGTACGAAAATATATTAATGTCAATGTTAACATATTTTGTTGTATTGAGTACCAATGAGATATGTTTTCAGCTAAAAGATTTTTTTTTTTACTATCAGAATTGAAAATAAGCTGGTTATTCAGATTTTTTCGTAATATTTAAAAAATTCATGACATTAAAGTTTAACTGTATATGATGATTCAACCATTATCAATCCATTGCTTGATGAAGACCTTCTTTAAACTTTTCCAAAAATTTCTATTTGCTATCATTGCCTTCCAACTCGCAAATATTAACCCCTTAACTGCCGCGGGCGTATATATGCGTCTCGGCCGGACGATGCGTTAACTGCCGCAGGCGTATATATACGCTTTCCCGAAGTACGATGCTTTGCACTGCGCTGCTATAAATAGAACTACACTCCCTACTTCAGAATGCAGTAAAATGGCCTTGAAAGTGTTTGCTTTACGAATGTATTACTAATTTCGGAGGAGGGGGAATGGGAAAAGGATGTTATGGAAAAGTGATATCGTATTAATCGCTTGTGTGTATTTATTTGAGTAAGGTCGGGTTTATTCTTTTTTCGCTTTTGTTTCCCGTATGTATTTGGTGCTTTTTATTCTTTCCATCAACGTCTTCAAAGAAAAATGCATCGCGAAAATGTGCTGTTTGTTCAAGAAAAAAAATTCGTCGTGAATCCCGCTATCAGTGCGATGAATGTGATGTTGGTTTATGTGTCCAACCATGTTTCAGGATTTATCATACAACAGCTAAGTTTTAACATCTTTTATATTGTATTTTTATTATTTAATTTAAATTTTGTATTTTCTTTCTTTCCTATTTCTTGTCTTGTAAAATTAAACTGTTTTTAAATTGCTAGGCGTGCATCATTTTCCCCACCAAAACACCGTGTAAGAAAGTGCACTTGAGCGAAAAACGGTGGCACTGGGGAGTGAATCACGTTAATTTTGCTCGGCAGTTAAGGGGTTAATAAATGAGTTTTTTGGTAACCATTGCCCATGGAAACTATTTTTTTAATTTTCTTCATTTAAAAATTTAAGAAAAAAAAGTTTTTATGAATTTGGAGTTACAAATCAGCTTTTAAGAAAGGAAAAAGCAAAGCCACATTTGAAATCTTTCAAGTATCATGGGTTGTAAAGGAGAGGTATAGGAAGAACTGTGTATCTCCACTGGTTTTCAATATATCCCCTTTTTTTTGCTAATTAGTGTTAGTTTGCCAGAACTGTGATTGTCAGAACAGTGTTATTATTAGCCAGAACCATGATTAAATATGTCTTTAAATGGAATAAAAACTACTACATATTTTACATTTTTATTTTATTATGACTATTTTTTTAGCATTAAAATATGTTCTTAATTTACATGATAAAAAAATTAATTTTAAAATAGTTGTAATTTTCAGAATTTTAAACCAAATGTAGTTAGAAAAAAAAAGTGATTCTGTAGCATTTCCATTAAAAGTTCTCAAAATAGATGTACTTGAGACGTTAGACTTTTTAGTATTATCCCACTTAGTTAACCATTACAACACTGTTAATCATAAATTTTAGATAATGTTAAAAGATCAAGAACTTGTTCATTTGCATAAGGAAACTTTAAGAGGTTTTTAATAATCATGTTGCCTTCTGATTTCTCTGATATGCTAGCAGATTTTGATGTAAGAGTTTGATTGTATTTTTGATATTTCCTTTCTTAAATATTATTTTGCAACTATTCATGTGTCTTTTAACTTTGCTTTTCGCTTTTATTCTAAAATATATACGCTAAGGGCAATCATTTTAGAATACCCTATACAAAATGTAAAAATAGTTAAACAATATCGAGTATCCTAATCTTTTTATTTCAAAGCTACCTAAAAAATTTCAATTTCTTAAATAATTTATTCTATTCTAAAGAGAATAATCCTTTTTTAAATTGAGAAAACTCAGATAAATCAATTCATATGTTTTTTTTTTTTAAAAATCATTTTAAGTGCTGAGTAATTGCAAGTCTTTTTTCTTTTCATAATATTTAAGGAAGCAATGATTAAGTTGTTATTATTCAATCTTATAAATTTTTTTTATAATATTTGTTCGAATTAATTTTTTAATATAAAAAAGAGTTATTTGAAATATGTTCATTATATGAAATTTCCAAATTATTTTGTAAAAAAATGTTTTATTATATAGCTGAGTAGTTTTATGTGTTCATTTGGTGTCTCATGAATTATCTAACTATTAAATTGTTCTCCAAAATAAAGTGTTATATATTTTATTATTTAGGGGCAAAGCATTTGCTCTCATTAAAAAATCTCTTCTGAGTCTCATTGGAAAAAGTGAAATGGAGGAAGAAGAAGAAATGCTTATATCCTATATCAAGTAAGCAATAATCTTTTTTTTTTTTTAAATTAAATTTACCATTTTATTAATCCATGCGCAGTTTGTTGTTATATTTTTTTAAACAGTGTATCTGTCTTTTAATAGAATTATTAAGAAAGAAATATTTCGATCAATTTGCTTTTTATTTTAATATTTGGACTCTATCCTTTTGTTACTTACAAACCTATACCTACCCTTACCTGTTGAGAAATTCGGTGATGCACCGACCAGTATCGATGGTCTCCTTTGAAGAAGATATTGTTGGGCGATTTTCTCTAAATGTTAACTTTTGCCTTAAGACAATTAGGAAAAATTCATCTCATAATTTACTTAATATTTGTAATTTTAAACACTAAGACCATATATTTAGAGATAAAACCAGCAATAAAAAACTTTAAAAATAAAAATTTTGTGAGAGTTTTAAATTGTAATTGTTAAAATAATGTAAGTACTGTCCCCTCATTAAATGTTTTAAAAACACACAAAGAAAATTTTTTAAAAATATTTTTTAATATGGATTAATAATTAATATGTAAATGTAGAGCATTTTAAATAATAATGCTTAGTTGAAAATGTATTTAATTTTTTTAAGAAATATGTATTATATTTAGAATTTTTGAAAAATATTAAAATTTTTTACTTTTTTATTGAAAAAAACATCTTTGTAACACTTATATTTTTATATTACCTTAAATGAAACCCCACTTTGTAAGCAAGCACATAATAATTTATAGCCTAAACTCTTGTTTTCATTTTTGAAATTAATTCTTGTGTGCCGGGACAACAGTACCTAGTTATAAAAAGGGACAATAATGACCATAAACTAGAAGAACATAATTTAAAAAAAAAATTAAGAAACTACATTTCTACTCTATAATAATCTATTACTAAGAACATAATAGGTATTTTTCGTTTTACATTTTAAAATGTAATTTGTATATTTAAAATTATTTGTTCATGGTTTAGAAATTGGCATTGGTAGCATTTTTTAGATGACACATAACTTTCTTTTTAGTACATCTTGTACCTCTGATCAATAACAACAAAGTAAAATTTCAGTTCATACTTTATAAAATTCATACATTTTTGAGTATAAGTAATTAGTGGGATATAATGAAGGCCATAAAATAACTAAAACAATAAGGCGCAAATATGATAAATTTTTCAGTACAAAAAACAGCAATCAATTTGCATGTTTTTTGTTATTTCATTTGCATGCTATCTTTAGAAAAACAAACATTTTATTCCTTTATAAAATAAAAAGTACTCAATGCTAAGTGGTTATGCTTCGTTGCCATCAAAAATAGTCAAAACATTTCTTAGATTCATTAAAAATACTAATGACCACCATTTTTCCTTTTTAAATGAAATTTCTTTTTAATTTCCACAAATATATATATTTTTTTGCTGAATAAAAAGTAATTTTATGGGATAAAACATATTCAAAAAATTAAAGCAATATGTTATAAAAACAGAGGTATATCTATTTCTGTTATTCATTTTAAACTTATGTTCTAATCACATAATTATTTATTTTGAAATTTTCAGACCTGAGAGGTACATTAACAGTGAAGTTCAAAAGGCAGCTCTTCTCTCTCATACTGTTTCTGCTTATTTGAGTATGTTAGATAAAGATGTTATATGTAGAGTGGCCATGCAAGTAGTTTCTGATACCAATTTATGGATTAGTAAAATCTTCAGGTATGATTTATGTGCTCAGTTGGCTAAGCAATGTATAATTTATCTAAGTTATAATATATATTATATATAACCACATATATATATATAACTTTATATATCAGGGATTCCTCTTATGTGCTATGGCGTGTCAAATGAGCTAAAAGTTGTTGTGAGGATGCAAAAGAAAAAAGGTTCTAAGAAATCCCCTGGGAGGTGTATTTCTCCATCACCAAAAAATAGGGTGATAGCAGATTTTTTGTAGGCAAAATTAAACTTTAAAAAAAAAAATTATTAATATAGAATAAAATAGTTTTTGCTACTAGAAAAAATGTAAACAAGAAGGATAAATAATACAAAAGAAAAAAAAAATATGCGAGGGCATATTTCAATCAATTATGGTGATTTCAGCTAAGCGTGCCATCACTGAATAATATTAAGTCAGAGTACTGTCACTGAAGAATGGAATGTTAAGTCATAGTGTTTTCATTGAGGAATTTATATTATTTTAATGGGAGATTTATATTGTTTTATATATTAAAATTTGACTGTCTTGGGTCATAAGGAGTTTTGAAAATCTAGCGAATTCACCGTATTATATTATATTATATTTAAAAGACATATAATCTATTTTCTAATAATGTTTCTCAAGGTAAAGTATTTATCTATATTTTTTATACCTAATATTAACCAGTATATATATATATATATATATAT